GAGAAGACCAGAGTGACTGGTCGAAAAGCTCTAGGTGAGAGATTTCTTTGTGTTGGACCAAAAGTTTTAACTTTAAACATGTAACTACCAACACAGATGAACTTTCATGATAACATTTTTCCCCTCGGGTTGATGAAGAGTTCCCACCTGTTCCTGGAACGCCTCTGCTTCCTTCTCAAACCCGACTTCCTTGATGAAGTCGACGACGTCGGTGATGGCCCAAGCCGCAGCGACGGGTTTCTTCTTCTGCAGCGCCTCCATAACCGACGCCGACTGCTCCGGGAGGCACGCGGACTCGGGCTGGGTCGGCGTGGCAACGGTCTGGCTCTTCCGGTCACCGCTGCAAAAACACGCCATTAGATTACACAACTACCACTGCTACCATTGTTTACGTACTGTGTACTTGTTGTGTGTACTTTTTATGTATATCCAGGATGATACCTGACCTGAACGACCTGAAACTGTACGACCTGAAATTGAGAAGCAGGCTGAAATGGCCTGAGATGTAAGGCCATGTTGATTTGATTATATGGATGACATCCTCCGGGAGCCCCAAAACTGATGCACGCGTGCGAATAAAAAAAAAGTTTTGCAAAAAAAAAAAATTGTTTTCATTATGAAATCTACGTGGTCATGAGGGTTGAACAAATGGGACAGAATATGGTTTGGCGAATAATCTAATCTTCAAGTTCATTTCCTAACAATTTCGTCTTTTTTCGTTTGATTTTGGCATTCTACGACATTGGTATAGTTTTTACTTATTTTTTTGTAACTTACGGTATATTTTTGCTCATTTTGCAACTGTTTTGTAAGATTTACAGTATGGTTGAAAACTTTTTTTTTTGGAAACGGCCGAAAATTCATGCGCGCGTGGATGTCATCCATATAATCAAATCAACATGGTCTAATGTCAGGTTAAATAAATAACGTGAAAGTGCCATCAAAGTCTTTTCAAGCCGTACCCAGTAATTCGTGCCGTACCCGCTAAAAATGCTGGCCGTACCCGGAAATTCTGGTTGTATTCACTAAAACGTCAAGCCATTTGTGCCATACCCTGTACTTTTCTGCCGTACCCAATGGTGGACATCGCTCGATCCCAGTGTGTAGTCCCTCGAAAGTCGTGTCTCAATACACTGTACAGCAACGATCTACACAATGTCATATAGCCTATGCTCTGGCAAATCTTCCTGGTCACCTCTCTGCAGACTGGCTTTGTACGAATCGTGCCCAATCTTGAGAATACTTTGGCTAGCTAGAACATTCCACTCAAACACTCCAGCCAGACCACTTCTAACAACAGCTACACACTGGGGCCTAGCGATGTCCGCCATTGGGTACGGCCAAAAGTCTTTCCTGTGTTCATTTCCCAGAATTGCCAGCTGTGCACCCAATTTTTTCTGTAGGTGGACCCAAATATTTTGGTAGATATTTTTATACATATTAAATATATAATATTTAATATGTATAAAATATATTTTAAATATATTTAATATATATTTAAAATATTTTTTTTTTGTTGTGTTGGAAATTACAGTTTAAACTTACTTCATAATGACTTCTACCAACACAGATGAACTTTCAAGATAAATATATAATACTTTCAGGAGATTCTTGGCATCTAAGTGTCAGAAAAATAATAAAATCTTTGTTGTACTACTTTTTGAAGAATTTGAAGCTACATGTAGCTCCCATTTCAGATTCCAGCTTAGAAAAGGAGAAGAAAGATCTGTAAATAAGTTTTGGTTTATATGGTGCACCCAAAAAATTTTTTGTGCACCTAATATTTCAGGTTGGGTGCACCAGGGCACCTATTCCCAAAAATGTATTTCGAGCCCTGTTTCCGCAGCTATCAAGATGCACATTTGACAAACACCACTGCAAAGTGCCGTACCTCGTCTGCTTGGTTTGTTTTCTCTCTGCTATCCCGTTGATCAGTTGGGGCGGTGACTTGTGGGGGCTGGTTTCACCTGCAAGAGCACGAGTATGCAAATCAGCAACAGCCATACATTCATGTGTGACATCCTAGATATGCAAATTACAGAGTGCAACATATACTGCTCTGCATTCTTACATTACCTTAAAACTACTGTTTTCCATTTTGGATAAGATACCAAATTCATAGTGGCAGGAGTGATTGTGCTGTGTTATTAAACCTTATATCACCAGAAAACAGTCTTTTCCACTTGTCTAAAGTTTATACAAGTTTATACTGTTCAGGACAGCTGTACACAATGATTTCCAGTACAGCAGACCTTACCTGTATCCATGCTGTCTTCATCTATCTCCATTCCTGTGTCATCCTTACAGCGCTGGCACACCCACTTTCCTGAAGGGGGGGAGTTCAGATTAAGCACACGCAAAATCTTTCACTATGAAAAACTTAAACTTTTCTCCAACTCAAAATTTGACCCTTTGCTGACGTCACACGTGGGAAAAATCACGCGTCCACAGCATTTGGGTCAGATAGCTGAGGAAGACTGAGGGATTCAGTCGAAAATTTCTGGTGAGTCAAATTTTGAGTTGGAGAAAAGTTTAAGTTTTTCATAATGTAATTTACCAACTCAGATGAACTTTCATGCTGATGTAAAAAATCTTTCACTACATTTTGTGTTTGAAATACCTGTCTGCAGTCTGCAAAAAGAGTGATAGATTAAACTTTAAAGAATTCCAGTAATGCTACAGATTTACAAAGCTATATAATATGATGTAAAAAATTGGTTTGAGAAGGGTGTAGGCTTGTGTATTTGCAGAAAGTATTACCAAATTGCAGAACAAAATTTGACTCTTCTGCAATATTGCAGAGCACTGAAAATAAGTATTTCGACCACTGACATTACAAAAGAACCTGTTTTATGCAACGTTAGGCCACACCAATTAAATTTGTTGGTTCTCGGATTCGCTTCTTGGTTTTTTTCTGATTTGCAAAAAAAAAATATGATTCTGGTTCTGAATCAACTGAAAAATGCTCATGTTTTGCCCCCAACAGTTGAGGAAAGTCCTTTTCTTCCTAGTTGTTACAGTTTTCGCATCTATCATTGCAGTGGTTTGATTAAAAGTTCAAAATTCAATGTTTAAATTTCAACCCAGCCTTTTGTGTTGACTTCATGGCTCATTTCGTAGCATTTAAGCCTATAATAGGATGCCTAGACCTGTTTTTATTTTTATTTTTTTTCGCCCTGTCGCTTCATATTTTTTCTGAAAAAATCCGAGAACCAACAAATTAAATTGGTGTGGCCTTACCACCAAGTATCAAAGTGGAGTACTTGTGATTTCATATCATCAACTCATAACGTGTTGTTAAGTGGATCTTTGCCTGGATGTTGACTTTTGGCGTCACCTTGACAAAGCAATTATTAGGCCACACCAATTTAATTTGTTGGTTCTCGGATTTTTTTCAGAAAAAATATGAAGCGACAGGGCGAAAAAAAATAAAAATAAAAACAGGTCTAGGCATCCTATTATAGCCCCAAATGCTACAATATGAGCCATGAAGTCAACAAAAAAGGCTGGGTTAAAGTTTAAAGTTTAAATTTTGAACTTTTAATCAAACCACTGCATTGATAGATGGAAAAAACTGTAACAACTAGTAAGGAATTTCCTCAACTGTTGGGGGCAAAATATGAGCATTTTTTAGTTGATTCAGAACCAGAATCTTTTTTTTTTGTCCAAATCAGAAAAAAATGAAGAGGTGAATCCGAGAACCAACAAATTAAATTGGTGTGGCCTTACAATGCATCAACTCGTCTTAACCTCCATCCTGCTGAGGTAGATTTTTGATAGCAAATTTGTATTTGTTATGAATTTAGGTAGCAGGGAGAGGGTTAAAGAAATGTAACAGTATATATGTGGCACAATTCATTCTGTGTTATGTCTACCTACTAAATGTATGACTGTACTATACACACATATGTCATAGTACTTTGAGGATTGGTATTGGTTCAGTCTCAACCAACCCACTACATCTACCAACACGGCTTGAAATACTGGGTGCATGTGCACCTTAGCGCATCCAAAATTGGAGCTGTGCACCCAACTTTTTCTGCGGGTGCACCCAAATATTTTTGTAGGTATTTCTGTACATATCAAAATAGTATACAGGATATTCTTGGCACTACCGGAAACAGGAAAGAATACAGGATCATGAACAAGGTTTTCTATAAATAGGGTAACGGCGGTAGTGCATCTTGGCACCTAAGTATCAGAAAAATAATAAAATCTTTGTTGTAGTACTTGTGTAAGATTATGAAACCGTAATTAATGCAGAATGTCGAATAGTTTTTTATGATTGTGAAGTTAACTCCCATTTCGGATTCAAGCTCAGAAGAGGAGCAGTAAGATCTGTAATTAGCTTTTGTTTCATATGGTGCACCCAAAACTTTTTTGGGCACCTAATTTTCTAGGTTGGGTACACCAGTGCGCCTGAATTTCAAGCCCTGAGCCCCTGCAGGTTTACAGTGATAGGTGCAGGTGAGACTTACCCAGAGGTTTGTGAGTGACAGCCGGCTCGTGGCAGGCCATGTGATAACCCTTATCACAAGCATCACAGAACAGGAGGGTCTCCTACAACAGGGAAGAACAGAGGACCATGAATATGGTTTTCTATAAGGCCACACCGATTTAATTTTATGGATGACATCCTCTGAAGACACTAGTGCGCGCGGGCGAATAAAAAAATAATCCAGCCAAAAATAAAAATGCTACTAAACTACAGGAATACAAAGCTGGTATTGTGAATTTGCGGCAGTACATAGCAACGCATATGACAAGCCGGCACATGCTGGCTTTTTACGGAATCTATGAATCGGCACCTTATGTATGTACTAAGTTCTTGAGTTGCCACCGGCTCCGTATTGTCGCTAACTACCATGGACTACCCAGGACTAGAGCCAGGCCAGAGCCTCGGAGGACGTGATCTTTTTTTTTTGAGAACATGCGAAAATCAATGCGCGCGCAGATGTCATCCATAAAATTAAGTCGGTGTTGCCTAACTATGGTAATGATGCTAGTGCACACACAGCATGTCAGCAGAACGTACTGCACTTGTGCAAAACCTGTAATGTATTGTGCTTACTTCGGCAGAATGTCTCATATAAGGTTGTTGTATTCATGTATATAAGATTAACATTCCGTCTGTAGTTTCCGAGTGTTATGTCGAAAAAGATATCGTCTGTAACAGGCAGAATTCTGATGCAACGTTGACCAAACATCCAACGAAAACTGCAAAAAATCCGGGTTTTGCACAGGCGCAGTACGTTCTGCCAACGTGCTCTCTTTATTAGCCACCTTGATCCCAGGTAGGTCCTTTAAAATATGGTTTCATCATTGCCTGAGATGATTTGGAAAAAAAACACAACTAAAAATCTTGAATTTTCAGCGTATTTGGTCAGTTTAAAATCCACATTTGCCATGAAATGAAATGTGCCTAAAATCTTACCCTGAATCGAGACATCCTCCATTAAAAATGATACTAATAGTTCCTACACCTCTACTACTACTACCTAATTACATTTACAACCACCCCTTTCATACACCTACAGTGACTGTAGGCTTCTACGGACGTACTTCAGTCATAAGATTTAACATGGCCTCATATTGCATGCGTTAGAATGGGCACAATGCCACCACCACTACCTGCATGGTTAGTGTAGATATTGTACTACATGAGGAAACCCTCAAAGCTTGGGCCTCTCCAAGATGGCTCCTCTGTTTTGGACCATCAGGTCAAAGGTTACGGGAGGTTGATTCCAGTATTTCTTACCTTGTGGCTGTGAAATGTGTTGATTTTTTTTGCCTTCTACAAATTTCAGACATTTGGTGATGTAATAATGGCCCAGTCTTGGACATTTGAGAATTGTTTATCACCTGGGCTAATCCATTTAAGGAATAGGGGGGACAGGCATAATTTTGGGACTTTAGTTTTAGCATTACATGCAGAGACTTTGTCATCTAAAAGCACAAAATTATCATTAACAAGACATTAGCTCATGCCCTATGCCTAAACCCCCCTCCCAACTATCTATCTCTATATCAGTCTAAAAATAACTTCTTCTCTTGATACACCTGTCAATACAAAGCCCAAGGGGGTAGAAGCTCATGTTGCAGACTTGACATTCTGTCAAAATTTCCAACGTTTTGATGAGGACTTAGAATTGTACTACATGTAGTATTTGTTCCTAGCAAAGAACAGATACTATCAAATGTACAGGCTTAGGCCACACCAATTTAATTTGTTGTTTCTCTGATTTTTTCATTTTTTTCAAATATGAAGCAACAGGACAAAAAAAATAAAACCAGATCTAGGCATCCTATTATAGAGTCCATTCCGCGTCACCGAGTGGGTTGTTATTGTCATTATTTAGAAATGTTTTGAATTCTTTGTAATTGTTTGTCTAAGAAATTTCATAATTTGGAAATATTTTGAACATCTTGTCAATATTCTAAATAATTCCCTGGTTTTCTAAAACGTTTGAAATATTCCTGATGTGGAATATGACATTTCCAATAGTTTCTAAATATTTCTAACAGCACTCTACCATTTTTTACCATTATTTCGAATTATTTCTAACATTTTGTAAATAGGTCAGTGGGATGGGAAGGAAGTAATTCACACATCCCTGTGAAGTACAGGGTAGACTGCCTGGGTGTCAGGCATTGATGCCTTACAACAAAAGAGCCACCAGTGTCCAGCAGTGAAATCTAAAAATATACAGAAGAATACAGAAGAGTAGGATTAGCACCTACTTTTATGGGGGCAATTACCCACATCTACCATTTTTCATTTGTTTGAAATAGTTCTAAATATTTCGAATAGTGAAAGAAACAAATGGGTAGTTCAAATTTATTCTAAATAAAGAGATCTTTGT